AGATTGTAAACAGGAACTATTGGCTACAATGTCTTTTTTTTTTTTTTTTTTTTTTTTTTTTAGGTAAAGTCTCCTATAGCCCAGATTGGACACAGGGTCTCACTGTGACACCCTAGCTAGCCTTGAACCTCTATGTAGACCAGGCTGACCTCAAATTCACAGAGATCTGCTTGATCCTGCCTCCCAAGTAGCTGGGTTTAAAGGCATGCGCCACCACACCCACCTACAATATCTTTTGTAGGTCAAATAACATCGTGAGTTAGGTATGGCAGGGCACCCTTGCAGTCCTGACAGTGGAGAGAGAGACACAACCATAATCCTAGTACTCAGGAGGCAGAGGCAGGAGGATGGTGAGGTTGAGGACAACCTAGAATGTATTTTAAGTTCCAGAGTACAATACTTATACACAAACAATAAAGCCAAAGAACATACATAAAGAGCATTACATGTTGAGCAGGTATGTAGCATATACAAAGACTTTTCACATATAATCTGGAGAAATAGATGAAACTACGAACTACATTAAAAAGGATTGCTATGAACTTTAATTTTGCTTAATTCTGAAAGACAAATATCAGCTACATGTTTCTCATCTGCAGTCCATATTCCTTCAGCCCCATTTCCTTTAATCTGAATGGGGGAAATGGTATGTGGGATACGTCACCCTTTCATTTTTCTCCTCTAGTTTCAAAGCTACGTCATGCAATTTTAGGGAGTGACATAACAGTGTAAAATTATTATAGAAGTAGTTGAAAAAAATCACAAAGATGCGTTTATAAAAATGCTCACGCAGCTTTAAAAAGACAGGCTTTGAGATATCTCAGCCGGTAAGAGGGCTTTTCCCACAAGGTCGATGACCCAGACTTGATCCCGGGATCCCTAGTGACTAGAGAACGGACTCCCACAAGCTGTCTTCTGACTTCCCACGCACGTGCTGTGGCATGTGTGTTGGTTGGTTGGTTGGTTGGTTGGGTTTGGTGTGTTTTTATGTCTTATTTCTTTTTTTCTTTGTTGTTATTGTTTTCCTAAATTGCCCGGGCAGGTCTTTAATTTATAATCCTCCTGCCTCAGCCTCTAAGTGGCTGGGATTACAGACCTGTGCTACTGACCTGGCTTAAATTACACTTGTAGTGATATTTACTTGAATGGTACTTTATGTAACCCGAGATCTAAACACACATGACCGACAAAACTAAGCTGAATGCAATGGATCGGAACCTCCCTGTGGCTCTGGTTACGCAGCTCTTTCATCCACAATGACACCTTAGAACATTATTTTAAAAAAGAAAACTTTGCTTGACTCATAATGGTAAATGTTGTAAACCAAAGAGAGGGGTTAAAAAGTAAAAGCCAAGCATGTTGTGCATGCCTTTTAAACCCCAGCACCTGGAAGGCAGAGGCAGAAGCCAGCCTGATCTGCACAGCTGAACAGCTCATTTAGGCCAGCTAAGCTCACATAGCAAGACTGTCTCAAAAACCCTGTAAAACAAAAGGCAGTTCTCTAAGGCAATATACCACAGCACCACAGAGTGTGACTACTGTGTGGTGGTAGCAACATGTATTTATAATGTGTCCTCTGTATCCCAGGCAACCAAGTAGGTCTTAGACGTGCATCAGTTCATTTGCAAGCCCCACCACAATAGATAGGCAAGCATTGTGTTACAGATGTGGGAGATAAGGCTAAGACACAGTGTGCAGAGGGAGCCAGGCTTGGAGCCCAGGACTTCAGACTGAAAGTCCATGTTGACATTGGCAGGCAGGCAGGCCAGGAAGCTAAGCAGACCCTTTGCACCAGCCAAGTGCTCCTATATAAGTGTTATTAGTACATTTGTATACTCTAAAGTGTGCTTTGCCCGGCAATGTGGCACACGCCTTTTTTTTAAAAAAAAATAATTAATTTAATGTGCATTGGTGTGAGGGTGTCAGATCCCCTGGAATTGGAGTCAGAGACAGTTGTGAGCTGCCATGTGGGTACAGGGAATTGAACCCAGGTCCTATGAAAGAGCAGCCAGTGCTCTTAACCTCTGAGCCATCTCTTCAGCCCCTGGCACACGCCTTTAATCCCAGCACTTGGGAGGCAGAGGCAGGCTGATCTCAATGAGTTCAAGGCAAGCCTGGTCTACAAATCAAGTTCCAGGACAGCTAGGACTGTTACATAGAGAAACCCTGTCTCAAAAAACCAAGAAAAAAAAAAAAGTGTTTTTTTTTTTTTTCCTGTTTTGTTTTGTTTTGAGACAGGGTTTCTCTGTGTAGTTTTGGAGCCTGTCCTGGAACTCACTCTGTAGACCAAGCTGGCCTGGAACTCACAAAGATCCACCTGCCTCTGCCTCCCGAGTTCTGGGATTAAAGGCGTGCACCACCACCACCTGGCCAAAGATGTGTTTTAAGATGGCAGCAGTTGTTGCTGGGCGGTGGTCGCACGCCTTTAATAATAGCACTCCAGAGGCAGAGCCAGGTGGATCTCCGGGAGTTCAAGTCCAGCCTGGGCTACAGAGTGAGATCCAGGAAAGGCGCAAAGCTCCACAGAGGAAGCCCTGTCTCAAAAAAAACATTAAAAAAAGGAAGAAAGAAAGAAAGAAAGAAAGAAAGAAAGAAAGAAAGAAAGAAAGAAAGAAAGAAAGAAAGAAAGAGAGAAAGAGAGAAAGAGAGAAAGAGAGAAAGAGAGAAAGAGAGAAAGAGAGAAAGAGAGAAAGAGAGAAAGAGAGAAAGAGAGAAAGAAAGAGAAATGGCAGCAGTGAAGGTGTTTTTGAATGACTGAAACCAAAAAAACAAAACAAAAACAAAACCACAGACATATAAACATGTATATATAGAGAAACCCACTTAAAGATGAAAATGTTTTTAAATAAGGTAACGCAGCCTGCCCCAGAACATCATACAGCACAGGACTGTGGTGTGATCAACCTGGAAACCTTTGTTTTCTCATTTCCAAGTCTTACTTTGGTGCGAACACTAAATAGCACCGTGTCTCTGTTAGCTGCCACTGTGATGCCCTTGACACAGTGGCCTAAGAAGGGAATCCCAGTTGAGCGTTTTCCCAGACCACAAGGCCTGCGGCCTCATCTGTGCAGGCTTGTCTTGACTAATAATTACATGGAAGGACCCAGCCCACCGTGGGCTGCACGAGCCCATGAGCTAGCCAGCAAGCAGTGTTCCTCCAAGGCTTCTGCTCCTGCCTTGAGTTTCTGCTCTGATTTCCCTCAGTGATGAACTGTGATGTGAAAGTGTCCTGGAAATGAGGCCAAATAAATCCTTCCCTCCCCTGTATGCATGGTCTAATTTTTCGGATTATTTATATAGGTTTTTGCTTGCATATATGTATGTGTATCCAAGTATGCTTTATGCCCATTGAGTCCAGAAGAGGGTGAGAGATCCCCTGGATTTGGAGTTAGAGACTTGTGAGCCTCCATGTGGGTGTTAGGAAGCCAGGACTGGTCCTTGGAAAGGCAGCAGGTGCTCTTAACCCACGAGACAGCTCTCTAGCCCCATGTGTGTATTTTTAGAAAAGTGGTGTTTGGGAAGGTGGAAAGGGGGATCATCCATTAAGAACATAAACTGCTTCTTCAAAGGACCGAGTTTGGGTTCCTAGCATCTACCGGAGGCAACTCATAACCCCCTGTAACTCCAGTTCCAAGGGTCAACACCGTCTTCTGGCCTCCATGAGCACCTGCTCAAACGTAGCGCACATACAAAAAGGCCCGTACAAACATGAAAACAAATCATCTTTCAAGTAACCGTTTAGAAACAAAAATTGAGACACTTTAAAATGCTTTCATATACTCCACTAACTTGCTGCGAACAGAAGAGTGCCTAGCGGGTCACAAACTCCAGCCATACTACCGTATTTTGTGTGTGTGTGTGTGTGTGTGTGTGTGTGTGTGTGTGTGTGTGTGTACTTACACTTTATAACAGCTGCCCTTCAAAATGGTTTGCACTGTGTTCCTTCTTGGCAAGCCGTACGCCATGGTGGATGATCACAATCTTTTCCTTACGTAGGAGCCTGATGTACCCGTCTCCGATGCTTTGTTCACTTTGCCTGAAAGAACAGCAACATCCCTAACTTAACAACCCTCATGTGAATGTTTTTTATGGCCAAATAATCAAAAGGTCGTCACAAAACATTTAGGGGTGTCAGGAAGCACTTTGGTAAACATTCGCTGGATCTGAACCGTGAACATACGTAAGCTAGCTCTGTTCGTTTTCGGGAAGCCGCTCTGTCAGTTCGGTCACCATCTAAGGTAAAGCCAGGCGAGGATGTTCCTGTGCGAGGTTGCAGTTGGCAGCCCTGCGCCCTGGCACGATAGGCGGACGCTGCCTGCGCCTGAGTCTCGCAGCTGCGCGCCCTTGGGGCTGTCATAGAGACGGTGACCCTGTAGCTCTCCGCCTAGGCATCGCCAGGCATGCACTGGCTGCCGCAGGCCACCGCCCTTCCCAGGGTGCAGTTCCAGCCAGACCCGGCTGGGGTGGAGCAGGGAGCGCCCTCCTCGCCCTCCCACGCCCGTGCCGCTCCCCGTCCCGGTCCCGGCCCCTCTGTACCCGGCTGGAGGTCGGCCGCGGCCCCGCGACCCAGGGCAGCACGCGCTAGGCGCACATGGCCGCGCACTCGCAGCCGCCCCGCCGCGGACACGCGCCTGCCCGCTTGCTCGTGCGCCTGCCTGCTCGTGCGTGCGCCTGCTTGCTTGCTCATGCACCCCGCTTGCCCCCGTGCCCGCCCTGCGTCACCCACCGCCAATAAAGGGCTTTGTGTGCTCGCGGGGTGCTCAGACCCAACCCGTCCCGCGGTGGGAGTCACACCTCATGAGTGGGTGACAGCCCCTGTCGACGCCCACGGAGGTCGAGACTCTGGCGACAGCTTCTACAAAGAGCAGATAGAAGTGTGTGGACCTTCATCACAACAGTGACCGTGGGGTTCCATCCGGTTGCTTTCTAGGACCCCAAGCAAATGGTGGCACTCGGTGGTGGTGGTGGTGGGGGGGGGTTTGCTAGAGCCGCTCCTTGCTAGGGCCAGGACCTTCCCAGCGTCCCTTCTCCGAACCTCAATGACTTCATAAAGCAAAGAAAATGTGTGTAGATTTCGTGGGTTGTGAGGATTAAAGATAATGCTTGAGAGTCTCTGACCCACGGAAGGGCCAGATTCTATCACTGTGCGTTTAGTGACGACTCCATGAAATAGGCAAAGGGTTCCGACTGAGAGAGGAATGGGCACTCGGTACGTAGCGGGTTCCAGGGCCAGCTGGAGAGGTTAAACACAGTAATCTCTCTACCTGTCACACTTCTTTCCTGCTTTGTTTTGTTGACACAGTCCAGAATGACCCGGAACCACTATGTAGCCCAGGGTGGCTTCAAACCTGCAGCTCATCAGGCTTGGCAGCAAGCCTTTATCCCTGAGCCATCTCGGCAGTCCAACCTATTTTTATAATTAATACTAGTCGGGCGGTGGTGGCGTATGCCTTTAACCCCAGCACTCGGGAGGCAGAGCCAGGCGGATCTCTGTAAGTTCCAGGCCAGCCTGGTCTACAGAGTGAGATCCAGGACAGGCACCAAAACTACACAAAGAAACCCGGGGGGGGGGGGACCCTAAATACTTGGCTGGCAGGGGAGATATCATGATTACAAAGGTGGTTTTCCCAGGATGAGGCTTATCAGTTGCACTCTGGATGTGCTGACCCTCGCAAGTTCCCCAAATGTGAGAAACTTGTCTGCGTAGTTTGTGGTAGTGGGGGACTATGTTTTCACTTTTGTCTGAATTAAAAATGGAGGAGGAGGAGGAAGATTCAGATAACAATGAGCAGAAAACACATTTTTTACAGACATTTGCCCTATGATGATCTTGCAAACTCTCATCCAGAGCCATTTATAATCTTTAAATATCAACAAAGAGCATATCACACCCCCACACCCCCACAGTTACAGGAAAAATAAAACTAGACATTCAAGGAGGTGGAAGAAGGCTGTCCAAAAGATCTACAAATAAAGACCGATTTCTGAATTGTCTTTAGAAATACCGAGTTTTAACTGTCATATAGAACTCTCATCCAGTGACTGCTGGAAGCAGATGCAGAGATCCACGGCCAAGCCCCAAGTGGAGCTCTAGGAGTCCAATCGACAAGAGAGAGGAGAAATTATATGAGCAAGAGATATCAAGACCATGATTGAAAAAAACACAGGGACAAATAGCCAAACTAGTGGAAATGCATGAACTGTGAACCAATGGCTGAGTAGCCCCCAACTGGATCAGGCCCTCTGGATAAGTGAGACAGTTGTTTAGTTTGAACTGTTTAGGAGGCATCCAGGGAGTGGAACCAGGACCTGTCCTTAGTGTATGAGCTGGCTTTTTGGAGCCTAGTGCCTATGCTGAGACACTTTGCTCAGTCTTGGTGTAAAGAGGAGGGGACTGGACCTGCCTCAGCTGATTGTGCCAGGCTCTGCTGACTCCCCAGGGGAGACCTTGCCTTGGAGGAGGTGGGAATGGGGGGTGTATTGCGGGGAGGGGAAGGTGCCAGTGGGGAGGGGGGACGACAGGGGAATCTGTGGCTGATATGTAAAATTAAATTAATTATAAAATAAAATATTAAAAAAAAAATACCAAATTCAGGCTGGAGAAATATCTCAATGATAAAGAGCACCTGTTGCTCTTCAGAAGACCCAGATTCAGTTCCCAGAACCTACATGGTGCTAACAACGATCTGTAACTCCCGTTCCTGAGTGTCTGACACCCTCTTCTGGACTCTGAGGGCATGCACATACATGGTGCACAAACATGCATGTAGAAAAAATACCCTAACACATGAAGTAAAAATAAATCTTAAGGGCCGGAGAGATGGCTCAGCAGGTAAGAGCTCTGTCTACTCTTCCAAAGGACACAGATTCAAATCCCAGCACCCACACGGCCACTCACAGCCCTCTGTAACTGCAGTCCCAAGAGATCTGACGCCCTCATCTGACCTCGGCAGACACTACACACACACACACACACACACACACACACACACACACACACACACACACACACGGTACACAGACATAGATACATGCAAGGGAAAAACACCCGTACACATAAAAATAAAAAATACTGTTTAAAGAAAAAAGGAAAGGAAATACCAATTTCTAGCAGGAAGGGACACAGGAGCAGTAAGAAAAGATAATGAACTAGAACAAAGTGTAAGGATACGTATGTGAAGATCCTGGGATGAATCCCACTATTTTGTATACTAACTTAAAAATAAATTACCCAAATCTACCTCTCTTTTCTTCCCCTCTCCCTCCCTCCCCTGTGCCTCTTGTTTATGCCATCTTCACCTCCAGCTCGGTCTCAGCCTCTCCCCATTTTGCTGGTCCCTCTCCTTTATCTTCCAGTTAGCAGGCGTCGTTTTAATGGTTTAAGTGAGAGTTGCTGCCACCTAGTGTTCAAATGAAGATGCGCAGAGGCCCGCGGAAGAGATAGATGAGTGCCGCTCAAACATAGCAAATTCAGCACCTGTGACAGCGTTGGCCCAGCTTTAGAGGCTGTTCAACAGAGTGCACCCAACGAGGCATTTAATCACCACATGGTTGGTGACAATAATTTTATGACATTTTAATATTTATTTGTATTCTTTTTAAGTAACTGTGTGTGTGTGTGTGTGTGTGTGTGTGTGTGTGTGTGTGTGTGTGTGTGTGTTTATGTAAGTTCAGGTGCCTTAGTTATCGGGGCCCCTTGGCTTGGTTAACACTGATCTGCCCAGTGTGGGTGCTGGGAACTCCATCCTTCTTAAGAGCATTGTGTGTTCTGAACTGCCAAGCCCCTTGTGATGACATTTTAGAGAAGAAAACGCAGGCATTTCTAGCATGGATAATATCCAATGCCACAGAACTTGAACTCAGACAACCTGATTCTGATCTTTGTTCTTTTTCCGCTGTACCACACTACACATTCTCCCAGATGGTTCTCTGGGCACTGTCTCCATCTATTGTAAGTACTGTTCCAACTGCCCTTTTCCATTATCGAGAGATTTCTTCCTGTGTGTGTACGTTCATCCTAATTTAAAAGACATTTTAGTTCCCTTAAGTAAGTAAATCATAGATGCAACTTCCAGTGTTTATGGCTGTTTCTAAAATTTCTCACAAAATAATTGCCTACCTTTCTAAGATGATGGGGAACTAGTACATCCCATAGTTGTCAGGCCAGCGACTAGCAGCCCTCAGTGCCGTGCGTCCTTGGCTCCTTTGCACTGGTGTCTTCACGGTGCTCTCAGCTCCCGGCCCTCCTTCCACTGGTCCTCATCCTTCTCTGAGTTTGTGCAGCCGCTGCCACTGTGTCAGAGTTTCCGATCCATGCCTCTGGCTCTCTTCTCCCACAAATGTAACCATCACTTTTCTGTGGGTCCGTCCCAAATAAGATTCACTAGCCAGCCCGGGCTTCCTGCCTGGATTTCTATCCCACACTTCCATCAGGTGGAGGAAATTTCCCATCCCACTCCACCATTCTCATAAAGATTTCAACATAATCCAAATATCCTCCTGGCCCCTAAGCTCTCCCAATCTTTGCTGTCCCTAAAATGATGCAGCGTCACCTAAACCAGTCTTAGAGGACAGGCATCATTTTGTTGTTGTTGTTGTTTTTTCAAGACAGGGTTTCTCTGTGTACCCTGGCTTTCCGGGAACTTGCTCTGTAGACCAGGCTAGCCTCCAACTCACAGAGATCCGCCTGCCTCTGCCTCTGCCTCCCGAGTGCTGGGGTGACAGGAAGAGTCTATCCTTAGGGCCAGAGAAAGGGTGCAGCAAGTAAGGATGCCCATCACCAAGCCGAAGAGGCTGTCAGTCCCCAGGACCCATGGGATGGAGGAGAAAACCAGCTCCCGGAAGTTGTCCTCTGACCTCCACATGCACACACTCATGCACACAGGCACACACTCATGCACACAATAAATAAATGTAATTAGCCCTAAACTATGAAGAGTTATTATATTGAAATGAAAGGACAAGAGAGTTAAGAGGAATGAATATAAGTAAAATATGAATATAAGTAAAATATAAAAATGTCCATGAAACCCATTCCCTTGGGGACTGGAGATGTGGCTCAGTTGGTAGAGCACTTGCCTAATGTTCATTCAGCCCTGGGTTCAATCCCCAGCCCCTCATAAACCAAGAATAGGCTGGGCAGTGGTAGTGAACGTCTTTAATCCATGGACTGAGTAGGCAACTAGAAGTAATTATAAAGCAGGGGATGGGGAAGGACTTGGAAATAAACTAAGAAGTTAAAGACAATGATAACTTTTTGTTGTGCTTTTTTTTTGTTTGTTTTTTGTTTTTTGAGACAAGCTATCTCTGTGTAGCTCTGACTGTCCTAGAACTCGCTCTCGGAGAATATGCCTTGCTGGTATTGAAGGTGTGTGCCACCACCTCCCAGTTTGTATTGCATTTGTTGTTTTGTTTTGTTTTCAGGACAGGGTATGGTGATATTTTATTTGTACTGAAATGTGATTTTAATTTTATGTTAATAAATAAAGTTGCCCTGGGGTCAGAGCTATAAGAGCCATAGCAAGAGCGTGGTGGTTAGAAGAGCTAGGTAGATTTCTGTGTGTTCAGGGATACAGCCAGTATTGGAGACATATGCCTTTAAGACCTGGAGGGCGGTACTTACAGGCAGTGACGAGGCAGTTATGTGGTTGGGTTTACAACCAATGAGAAGGCAGAACAGAAAGACTATTTAAAGACAGACAAACAGGAAGAAGCTCTCTCTCTGGGAAGCTAGGAGCACTACAGGAGGTAAGATTTTAGCTCTGAGCTCTGACCTCTCGGTTTTCTCTTTTACATTGGCTCTGTGTTTCTTATTTTAATAAGACGATTGGTTACATCTACAGGAATTACACACCAATATCTCTCAGGAATACTCAATAAAATACAATAAACAGAATTCAAGAACACATTAACAAGATCATCCACCATGATCAAATAGTTTGTATTCCAAAGAAGCAAGGATGGTTCAACATATGAAAATCTGTCAATGTAATCCACCATATAAACAAATTGAACAAAAAACACCACATAATCATTTCATTAGAAAGCCTTTGACAAAATCCAACACCCCCTCATGATAAAAGTCCTCAAGAGATCAGGGATAAAACAAACATATATAAACATAATAAAGGCAGTATACAGCAAGCTGATAGCCAGCATCAAATTAAATGGGGTGAAATTCAAAGCAATTCCACTAAAATCAGTAATAAGGCAAGGCTGTCCACTCTCCATATCTCTTCAATACAGTACTTGAAGTTCTAGCTAGAGCAATAAGGCAACTGAAGGAGATCAAGGGATACAATTGGAAAGGAAGAAGTCAAACTTTCACTATTTGTAGATGATATGATAGTATATATAAGTGAACCCAAAAATTCTACCAGGGAATCCTACAGCTGATAAACACCTTCAGCAAAGTGACTGGATACAAGATCAACTGAAAAAAATCACTATCCCTCATATATACAAATGATAAACAGGCTGAGACAGAAATCAGGGAAACAAACGCCCTTCATAATAGCCACAAATGATACAAAAATGTCTTGATGTAACTCTAACCAAGTAAGTGAAAGACCTGTATGACAATAACTTCAAGTCTTTGAAGAAAGAAATTGGAGAAGATATCAGAAGATGGAAAGATCTCTGGTGTTCATGGATCAGTAGGATTAACATAATAAAAATGGCCATCCTACCAAAAGTAATCTATAGATTATCACACAATTACAGATCCTACACAATTCTTTAAAGACCCTTAAAGAACAATACTCAATTTCATATGGAAAAGCAAAAACCCCAGGATAACTAAAATAGTCCTGTACAATAAAGAACTTCCAGAGGTATCAGCATCCCTGATTTCAAGCTGTACTACAGAGCTGTAGAACGTGAGGGATTACGTGGTGGGATTGAGGCAAAGAGGACTGAAAGAAACAGCTGGAAATGAGGTCATTTTAGGGTGAGGTAGAAACCCAGCTCAAGGGAAACTCCCAGACATCTACAAGGATCACCCAGATAAGACTCCTATTAATAGGGATATGTAACCTGGACTGAGTATCTCCTGTGACCAGGCAAGACTTTCAGTGTAGGACTTGGGAAACCAACCCAGCCACATAACCTGCTCGCCACCTCTCTGGTCTCTGCAGGCTTGGTGGGAGGAGTTCTGGGTCATTCCCTCATAACAACAGCTCACCTATCCAAGCAACTTCAGGCAGCAATTGAGGCTTCTGCAGCATCCTTATCCTCCCTCCAAAGGCAGTTAACCTCTTTTGCACAAGGTTGCCCTACAAAAACAATGGGCTTTGGACCTGCTAACAGCAGAAAAGGGAGGTACATGCCTTTTTCTGAGGGAAGAATGTTGTTATTATATTAATGAGTCGAATGATAGAAACCCAGATAAATAAGCTACATAAACTTAGCCTAGAGCTACATAAGCAGCAATTCCCTGCTGCAGCAGATGATTGGTGGAGATCATCCATGTTCTCCCTTTTGATGCCTCTTGCAGGACAATTAGTTAGCCTTTTGTTATTTGTAACTTTGGGTCCCCTTATAATTGGCAGGTCCCCTTATAATTGATGAATCAGATTCATCAAAAACCAAATAGACTCCTTGGCATCAAAATCTATACAGGTTCATTACCATCAGCTCGAAATGCTGGATCGAGGATGTGATCCCTATTATATTTGTCAGTCCTCTTCTCCTTTAGGAGCAGCATAAAGTCCGAACCTATGCTTATTGTCATCAGCTGGTATGCACCGCTAGGTGCAAAGCCAAGCACTGCAGGGGAAGGCTGATTTAATTGCCCTTGGTTCAGATTCCTTGAGAGACAAACCTGACTTGCATAGAGGTTGGTATCTAGAGGCACCAAAATGCCTAAGCCTTCTCCTCCCCAAAAGGCACCCTTTTTCTCAAGCCTGCAGTGGCTCTAGGAGGAGTCAGGTCAATGTCTCCCCCAGCTGGTTAAGGTCCACAAAGTTCAGGTGGGCACACTCCCTCATAAAATAAAATAAAGGGAGGAGATGCCGAGGACAACTTTAAGAGCCATGCCATATTGCCTGCCTGAGTTAAGTTTCTGTTGTCTACTTATTGAGCCACTAACCAGAAATTATTGACATGCCTGGACAAGTCCTGAGTTATTAGAAAATAACATTTCCTTATCTTTCTGCTACAGTGACCATTAGTAACAGTGTTTTGTGGTTAGGTTGCTTGGTTGGGTTGCTTGGCAACTCAACAGTCCCCTGATCTTTTCCCAAAGAAAGTTTCCCAGTCTGCTTACTATAAAACCCACCTGAGAAA